CTGATCGGAGAAGATTCAAGTATTAGATTTCTTCTTTGGTTTGTATTAGCGTAGTAGAAGGCTCTTAAGGCTAGATGTGACTTCGTTTCATGAGATCTGCAAGGTTTGTGGTGGTTTCGATTTGGTTTGGGTTTGGCTTTGTTTGAGGAGACTTTGTTTTGGAGCTTGGTCGTGAGCTGGTCTTGTTAAATCTGTGTTAGCTAGTTTGGCTGGGTTCGAGATCTCGTGTCGGTTCCCTTTTGGTCTCGCTTCGGTCTTCTTGCAATGGTGAGGGAGGTGAGTCGAGTGATTTGTTGAAGTCTGGCTTCTGTGGCTTAGATTTTCTCTCGGCAGTCCTCTGGTTTGTTTGGTGGTGGCTTGATGAAGATGTGAGCATTGGGTTTCTTCTGCTTTTGTTCACCGGGTATATTCGATTCCTCTTTAGCTTTTGTTTTGATCTCATTGATTCTTCTGTGCTCTAGTTGTGGAGTGTTGTGGTATTGTCTTTTGTACGGCTTGTGTAAGGTAGGGTTCTTTTGGACGAGGAAATGTGCTTTTTGTTGGTCCCATGCGTTTGTTTGTGGTCTGTCCGTTTGGTTGGTTACAGAGGTTGGTTTGATGTTCTCGTTTAGACTCGGTGGTTAGGTTATAATTTTCTTGGCGTCGCTGTCTCCTCTATTTCCCGGGTTATATGGTAAGGCTACAGGACGATGGTTCTTTGCTCTGTTGTCTTTATCTCCCTGCGTTCTTATCCGCCTCATCTGTCTGCTGCCTAAGTTAGTCCTAGAGCCGCGTTTTGGTTCTCTAGGTGTATGGGTGTGGCTCAAGGTTTAGGTTTTGTTATGCTCTTATGTTTGTTGGCTCAGATTTGGCTTCTTCGTGCTCCTTAGTTTAGTGTGTGGGTGTGCTATTGACTTCGTGGCTTGAGCTTGGGGTTACTTCTTTGCTTTCCTCTTTAATCAAATACCTTATCTTCGTACTAGTTCTTATGTATCATGAAGACAAAGATTTGTCTCTTTGAAAATCCTTGTTTCCTTAGGCCTTGTTGTTGTATCTTGTTTGGACTCTCTTCTCGACCATTCTATGACC